GACACCTGTCTTTCAAACCAAGACACTGTTGTGGTGCCTGCTGAGAGAAAGCCTTCCTTTTCTATCTGAAGATCAGAAAACATTTTCTGTTTTGTTCGTTTCTCTACTGTGTTGCGGCACATATTTTTCCTGGCTTAGCTTAATTCCTGCATCATAATTACTATCACTAGTGTGATCACTGGTTTCCAAGATAGATCAAATACAAATACGTACTTGAGGTGTTAGCCCTCCCCTCCCCCTGCCTCCCTTCTGTCCTTTCAGGCCCTGCTGTGTGTAGCAGACAGGACTCCCAAGAGCAAGCTAGCTGAGACGGTGGGAGGAATACTGCCTGTTGGGATGTTTATAACGCTATCGTTCAGTCACTAGACCAATGTTCCCTCCAGCTCCTGAGTCTCCACTGGCTTTAACTGTTCCATAGTGCAGAAGTGGCTCCATTTATTTGATGCTGGAAGCAATACCTCGAGTACTGTGATTTACACCCTTCCACCAAAGCAGGAACCCTCCTCCTTTCACCAAAACCCTGGGTGGACCTGGGAACAGCTCTTCTCTGGCACTTCTGCCCCATGTGAATGAGATGCTCCTGCTGCTTGTCCACCACTTTGCCATGTTACCCTCAACCTTTTTCTCAGGTCTGAAAGTTTAATTGAATCAGTTACTTGCAAGCTCCTCTCAGGCCAGCTGCCCTTCACTTAGTGCCAAGTGGAATCAGCAGCTACAGATGTGTGCCCTGCTCCTTGGGGCTGCACCTGAGGCAAGTGAGGTACTGCTGCGTTTGCTATATAACCAGAGCTGTGGCACCTACTGGTTGCTCTGTTAGAGCTTCCTCTGTTGGGGGCTGGGATGGGTGTGGAAGCTGGGAAGAAGCATGACCATGCTCCCAGCTCTGGGGACAGGAGGTCTAAGAGAAAGCCAAAGAGAAAGGAAACCTATTCGGTCTATATCTACAAAGTACTGAAGCAGGTGAGTAAATGTTTTGTTTCTCCTAGAAAGTGCTTCATATGTAAAGTTATTTCTGTATGCTAACCTTATAAAGAGGTAGAAAGGAAAATCTGCTTTTTAGTGAGATGTAAAAAAGAATGAGTGACTGGGTATAGGAGAGCCCCAGCTGAGTCTCAAAAGTGTGTGTGTGGGATTTTTGGGGTAGAAGGAAGAAAGGGATGTAGATCAGAAAGGGCTTCCTAGAGAGCCTAAGCCTAGTGTGTGGCTCTACCTAAAAAAAAACCAATTGAGCAGAAGTCAACAGGCAAGAACAGCTGCTGTTGGCCCTGTGAATAAGTATTTAATTCTGTTGGGGAGATGAGAGAGAATTTTGAGAGGTGGTCATGAGCCATCTAGGCATCAGTCACCTGCCTGAGCCTAGGCAGGACTTGGAGCATGTGGATGTGTCCACCCCTTACCAGCTGGTTTTCCACAGTGGGTTGTGCAGGGGCTCCTGCCAGTGCAACCCCAAAGCTACTGCGGTATGATGGGGACCTCTCTTCAGTCTAATGTAAGTGGCACACAGCTCAAGACCCTCACAGCCCGGCCAGTAGGTCTCTAGAGCTAGAGCTCTAGAGCTAGAGTGCCCTGTCTGGAGTGGGAAGGGGGGCCCCATTTTTCTGGGGATGCTGAGGCCCCCCGCTCCCTCCAGGGTGATGGGTGTGTGAGATGGTGCTTGGTTACCACTTGGCAGGTGCATCCAGACACTGGCATCTCCTCTAAGGCCATGAGCATCATGAACTCCTTCGTCAATGATATCTTCGAGCGTCTGGCCTCAGAGGCCTCGCGCCTGGCCCAGTACAACCACCGCTCCACCATCACCAGCCGTGAGGTGCAGACGGCCGTGAGGCTCCTGCTGCCCGGCGAGCTGGCCAAGCA